CTTTTTTTTTTTTTTGAGTTAGAGTCTCACTCTGTCACCCAGGCTGGAGGGCAGTGGCATGCTTCCAGCCACCGCAACCTCAACCTACTAGGCTCAGGCGATCCTTCCACCTCAGACTTCCAAGTAGCTGGAACTACTGGCACGTGCCACCACGCCCAGCTAATTTTTTGATTTATTGTAGAGATGAGCTCTCACTAAGTTGCCCAGGCTGGCCTCGAACCTGCTGACTCAGGCAGTCCTCTCATCTTGGCCTCCAAAGTGCTGGGACTATAGACGTGAACCACTGTGCTCAGCCTCAAAACACTTCTTAATCACCTTATTAATTTTTATTTCCATCAGCTCCAACTTGGTGATACTGATTGATGAATAATGATTGCTTTATTTTGTTGACATTAGTATAATGCTTTTATTCCAATGATGTTTCAATGAGCTATTCTTGTGTTAGTTTAGGCAGTGCATTCTGCAATCTCCTCCAAGCTAACCACATCCTAAATAATCAACATACCACTAAATCCAAAAGTAACCTAAATACATGATGAATTGGGTAGGAATAAGTCTCCCAGGATTCTGTACACATATTCCCAGAATAAAAAGTATTCAGTTTCTATGAGAAAAGAAAACTGTAAAAATGGGTGAGTTAATGTGGCATTCTCATAAAAGGACAATGGAATGCTGAAAGAAGTCTTTCATTAAGATTTCTTCATTTACCCTAGACTTGACCTATAGATATGATGTAACAGAAGCTCAGAGATTCTGAGCTGGGCATGGTGGTGCATGCCTATACTTGTAGTCCAGCAACTTAGGAGGCTGAGGTGGGAGCATCACCTGAGCCCAGGAGTTTGAGGCCATCCTGGGCAACATAATGGGACCCTCTCTCAAAGGGGGAAAAAAAGAGAGAGAGAGAGAAAGATAGAGGGATCTTAAAGTTTATCAAGCAAAAGAAGGATCAGAGAATGTAATTGAAGGGTTACTCTTGACAGTAAAAAAAGTGTTGCAAGCAAAACCTCAATTCCTCAACCAACTCGTTTTTGACAAGGCCTCCACCACCAACCACTGGGGAGACAAGAACCTATTCAGTAAACAGTGCTCGGAAAACTGGCTGACCACATGCAGAAGATTGAAACAGGACCCCTACCTATCACCAAACACAAAAGTCAACTCTAAACGGATCAAAGACATAAATGTAAAACCTCAAACTATAAGAATCTTAGAAAGCGCAGGAGATACTTTTACAGAAATTGGAGTAGGCAACCAATTCCTGATCAAAACCCCAGGTGTCCATGCCATGAGAGATAAGATGGACAAGTGGGACCTCATTAAACTGAACAGCTTTTGCAAAGCAAACTAAATCATCAAGAGAGTTGGGAAGCCAGGTGTGGTGGCTCACACCTGTAATCTCAGCACTTGGGAGGCCCAAGGCAAGAGGATTCCCTGAGACCAGGGGTTTGAGACCAGCCTGGGCAACTTGGTGAGATCTTGTCTCTACAATAAAACAAAAAATTAGCTGGGTGTGGTGGTACATGCCTGTGTTCTTCTCAAAAGAAGTCATTTGGAAGGCTGAGGTGAAAGGATCGCCTGAGCCCAGCAGGTTGAGGCTGCAGTGGCCATGAGTGTGCCACTGTATTCCTGCCTGGGTGACAGTGAGACTCCGACTCAAGGAAAAAAAAGAGAGAGAACAGAGAGACAGCCCACAGAATGGGAAAAAATATTTGCCAATTGCATGTCTGACAAAGGCATAACATCCAGGATCTACAAGGAACTCAACCATGCAAAAGGAAAAACAAACATCCTTATTAAAAAGTGGACAAAAGAGCCGGCTCGGTGGCTCAGCCTGTAATCCCGCGCCTTGGGAGGCTGAAGTGAGTGGATTGCCTGAGCCTGCGGGTTCGAGACCTGCCTGGGCAATTTGGTGAGACCTCATCTCTACAATAAATCAAAAAATTAGCCGGGCGAGGTAGCGAGTGCCTGTAGTTCCAAGCTACTTGGAAGGCTGAGGCGGAAGGATCGCCGGAGCCCAGCAGGTCGAGGCTGGGGTGGCCAGGAGTGGCCGCTGCACTCCAGTCTGGGCGACAGAGTGAGACTCCAACTCAAAAAAAAAAAAAAAAAAAGTGGACAAAAGACATGAAAAGACACTTCTCAAAAGAAGACATATGAGGCTTAGCTTGGTGGCTCAGCCTGTAATCCCAGCCCTTTGGGAGACTGAGGCTAGTGGATTGCCTGAGCCTGCAGGTTTAAGACCAGCCTGGGCAACTTGGTGAGACCTTGTCTGTACAATAAATAAAAAATTAGCTGGGCATGGTGGCCCGTGCCTGTAGTTCCAGCTACTTGGAAGGCTGAGGTAGAAGGAGCGCCAGAGCCCAGCAGGTTGATGCTGGGGTGGTGGTGAGCATGCCACTGCACTCCAGTCTGGGCGATGGAGTGAGACTCCAACTCAAAAAAAAAAAAAAAAAAAAAAGAAGACATATGAGCAGCCAGCAGATGCTCAGCCTCACTAATCATCAGAGAAATGCAAATCAAAACCACATTGAGATACCACCTAACCCCAGTAAGAATAATAATCATTAATAAAACAAACCACAACAGATGCTGGCGGGGATGTGTAGAAAAGAGAACACTTCTATCCTGCTGGTGGGAATGGAAACTACTTCAACCTCTGTGGAAAATAGTGTCGTGATTTCTAAAATAACTAGGAATTGCCCTTCCATATGATCCAGCAATCTCCCTAGTGGGAATATACCCAGAGGAATTGAAAGCATTCTACGAAAAAAATAACTGCACATGCATATTTATTGCAGCACTATTCACAATAGCAAAAACATGGAACAAACCATGCTGCCCATCAAAACTGGATTGGATAAAAAAATGACCACACATACCCAAAGAAATATTATACAGTCATAAAAAAGGACAAACATATGGATTTCTCAGCATCTTGGATGGATTTAGAGTCAGTAATACTCAATAATCTAGCACAGAAACAAGAACAGAGTACCACATGTTCTCACCCATAAGTGGACCCTGAACATTTACCATAATACTATAAGAAAGGGATTGGCAGTAGTGGGACACTGCCAGAGTAGAGGAGAAACACAGCATCAATTAGAATACCTAATCTCAAACCAGGTAAAGTGGGGGCCAAAGGGAGGCCCAAACTTTACCTGTATGATGTCCACTTGTATACCTAATCCTGAATTGTACCCCACATCTTTAAAATAAAATATATGAAAAAAAGAGAGAAAGCCGGGCTCGGTGGCTCAGCCTGTAATCCCCTGCCTTTGGGATGTTGAGGTGAGTGGATTGCCTGAGCCCGCGGGTTCGAGACTCGCCTGGGCAACTTGGGGAGACCTCATCTCTACAATAAATCAAAAAATCAGGCTGGCGTGGTAGCACATGCCTGTAATTCCGGCTCCTCGGAAGGCTGAGGCGGAAGGATCACCAGAGCCCAGCAGGTCGAGGCTGCGGTGGCCAAGAGCGGCCACTGCACTCCAGTCTGGGCGACAGAGTGAGACTCCAACTCAAAAAAAAAAAAGAGAGAGTTGCCTGCACAAATATATTGAAGAAAAAATAAGAAAAGGAATATATATGTATTATTAGCACAACTGAATATAGGACTAAATATAGCACTGTATACTACAGGACTAAATAAGCTTAAAGCATGTCGACGCGATTAGAAAGTTAAAGTTGTATAAATGCATTGAAAATATTTATTCATATTTTTTCTCAAATAGGACTAGGTGATAGCTCTGGGCAAAAATCTTTCTACTTGGAATACATTTATTTTAAGACATAGGTTAAGCCGGGCTCGGTGGCTCAGCCTGTAATCCCGCGCCTTTGGGAGGCTGAGGTGAGTGAATTGCCTGAGCCAGCGGGTTCAAGACCCGCCTGGGCAGGCGAGACCTCATCTCTACAAAAAATCGGCCAGGCGTGGTAGCACGCGCCTGTAATTCCGGCTACTCAGAAGGCTGAAGCGGAAGGATCGCCGGAGCACAGCAGGTTGAGGCTGTGGTGGCCAGGAGTGGCCACTGCACTCCAGTCTGGGTGACAGAGTGAGACTCCAACTCAAAAAAAAAAAGATATAGGTTAGTTACAGACATGAGAAACTGTTCTCCAAGTGTTAATATCATTAAATAATACATTTTATAATAATATACTAGAACTTTACTATAACATTCCTGCTGAGTTATGAAATTTCTTATAAGGTAAATCCAAACGGGACATCATCTGCAGCTGTTTATGATCATAAATGTCAGACTTTTGTAATGCACCATAATTCTTTTTAACATTGTCCTGGGAGGAAACATATTCAGAAAAAAAAGTGTATTTTTTCCTCTAAGAACAAGACCTAAGAAGAAATTATTTATAGTAATTATGAATTCATTTTCTCTTTATTTTTTAGTTGCAAGCAACCATAGGAAAAAATATATATATACTATGTAATAATAATTAGTATATACAGTACTGGGGGAGACCAAAAAAAAAACCCCAGAATTTATTTATAAAAACTTGTGTATTTCTTCTTACATATTTCTTTTATCTTTTTTTTTTTTGAGTTGGTGTCTCATTCTTGTCGCCCAGGCTGGAGAGTAGGGGCATGCTCACAGCCACTGCAACCTTGACCCACTGGGCTAAAGTGATCCTTTCACCTTGGCCTTTCAAGTAACTGGAACTATAGATGCACGCCACCACACCCAGCTAGTTTTTTGTGATTTATTGTGGAGACAAGGTCTTACCAAGTTGCCCAGACTGGTCTCAAATCCCTGGGCCCAGGCAATCCTCTTGCCTTGGCCTCCCAAGTGCTGGGATTACAGGCTGAGCCACCATGCCTGGCTTATTCTTACTTATTTCAACTTCAGTCACCTTCAAAGTTCTCTCTGTTTGATGCAATACACCTATGGAGACACTTTTCCCATTGCTCAAAACAGTTTTTGAAGTCGTCAATTTGATACCTTTTTGTGCTTCTGTTGTTTTTTGTTTCACTTCTTTCACATCAGTGAAACATTTCCCTTTGAGGGCTTTTTTAAATCGGAGAAACAAAAAAAAGTCATTCAGGGTGAGATCGGGTGAATAGGGAAGGTGAGGCATGGGGTCATGCCATTTTTGGGTCAAAAACTGCTGAACACTCAGTGCGGTTTAGGTAGGTGCCCTAGTGAATCCTCCGTCATGAAATGGCTGAAATGCAGCCTCTCACAATGCTAGCTGGTACACCAATGCCCATGGATTTCTAGAACACTTACCTAGCAGGGAAGCCTGTATTACAAGGGGCCCACCCTCCAAAAGATCATTCCATTTTTTGGCGGGGGAGGGTTCCCCTTATGTATAATTGTTAAAGCAAACCACAGAATGAGAGTTGCTCAGTTTGGAAGTCTCAGAATTTCTACACAAAAAGACGTGAAGAGGGCCAATCTCTGTGGCTTATGCCTTAATCCCGTTTTGGGAGGCCAAGGCAGGAGGATCACTAGAGGCCAGGGGTTTGAGACTAGCCTGGGAAACATAGTGAGACCCTTATCTCTAAAAATAAATAATAAAATTTAAAAATTAACCAGGTGTGGTGACACACTCCTCTAGTTCCAACTGCTCAGTAGGCTGAGGTGGAAGGATCACTTGAGCCTAGTTTAAGGTTGCAGTAAGCTATGACCCTGGGTGACAAAGTGATACTGTACCTCAAAAAAAAAAAAAAAAAAAAGACAAGAAAAAGAAGAAGAAAAGAAAACAAAAGAAACTAGGAAAGTAATTTGTTTACTTTGTCTCCTCTTCCCCATTCTATTAAAAGTATACTTTTGAACAGTTAACATTAGGTAGCAATACTTTATATGTTTTAGCTAATTAGATATGACAAATTTTTAACCTGCTTTTTTCTTTTTCTTTGTGGTTGGGAAGTTCCCTGGCACAGAAAAGATCTAAGATCCCAATCCTACCGGTCTGGTAATTATTGGCTGTCTGATTTTGGGTTACTTATCTTCTGTAAGTTTCAATTTCCTGGTTCCTAAAATAGATATAAAAATAGCTTCTTAGCCGGCCTCGGTGGCTCAGCCTGTAATCCCAGCACTTTGCCAGGCTGAGGTGAGTGGATTGCCTGAGCCCGCGGGTTCGAGACCCTCCTGGGCAACTTGGTGAGACCTCATCTCTACAATAAAATCAAAAATCAGCCGGGCGTGGT